TTTAGGGTTTGGGGTTTAGGGTGGAAACGTTCACCCAAAAGCTTACCTCTCCAGGCATGTTCAGGGGAACTAAAGCTTCGCCTTTGGGAGTAAATGTAAACCCTACCTCTAGTCTCCATTGTNNATTGTAGTTCCTTTTTTTGGTTTAATAAATCAAGGATTATATAAGGTATCCCCCCCAAAAAAGAACTACAATGGAGACTAAAGGTAAACCACAAACCCCAGACATGCTAAAGGGTTACTTGCTCTACTGCAAAGAAAGCTGCTTGATCAAGGCCCGGAGCTAAAAAAGCCTTCATCGCTAAATGGGCACTCACATAGGTGCCTTCATGAATAGAGCATGGCTTCGGTGTATGCATTATACTGTAACTATTACCATGAGAAACCCAATGAACACGTGTCATTGTTCAAGCTCCAGAGTAAATTGGGCTTGGAAGCAAGATGTATGATTCAGGATATAACGCTAAAGGTTCACGTACTGTCGTACAGCCCAATTACAGACCCTAGTGCACGGTAAGAGCTTTGGAACCTCGGGGTAAGGTTTAAGTCTTCACCCTAGGGTCCATGTACCCAAATAGTATATACTTTGGCCCCAAAGTACCTATATAAGGACTACTTTAAACTGTTTGGGTACAGGGACCCTTAGGGCCAGGTTTAGGAATGAGGACTTATAAGGTTTAGGGCAGGGTTGAAGACTAGGGGGTTTAAACCGCTCATAAGACTGCTTGCTTGTTCTCCAATCCCCTTCTTAGACTGGCAGCCGAAGGAGGCGTAGATGTCCTCCACCACTTCGACCTTGAAAAAGACTGTTTTAGGACTTGGGTTGGTTGGAGTCTTGGCACAGCGTTCAAGGATATACCATGAAGCAACTGAGACAGTTGCAAGTTGCACCATGTGGCGCTAACTGCGGCTTTCGGAATCGGTTCTCATTGTTGGGATTACCACTGCTGATGGGAAGTGAGACGATCGCGATGGCCATGACCGCGAAGATGACGATGTTGAGGGTGACAATGATCATGGGGGTCATGGCGATCCCCAAGCGTCCAAGTAGTCCTCGTATTAAAAAAATCCCATAATCAGGAGTACTTGGATCCGTCGGGGAGAACAGTGATGATGATGACGACGATGATGATCAGATCTCAGCATTTCTGGAACCTAATGTGACTTGGGGCTCCCGGAGCCCAGAAAAGCTGGAGCTTCTAGCCATGGTAGGATTCAGCAACTATGGGTTTAGGGTTTGGGTTTAGGGTTTGTGGTATACAGATGTACATACGCAGCGCACACAAGCAAAACGGGTTAAACACTGGCCACTCAACGATCAGTAGCAGTTGGGGTTCTGCTCAAGCAATCTGAGTGGCAAGCTGGATTCTCGACCAAGCTCTCATAGCGAACGTGAACCAGGGACTGGCAGGGGCATTCGCGCTGTGTGATTTTACAAGTCCTAAACCCTAAACCCTAACTCTAAACCCTAAACCCCTTCAGCTCAAGATAGCTTCTAGGCCTTGTACAGGACCCTAAGTCTCCATGTGCCCCAATAGTATATACTCTGCCCTTAAAGTAGTCCCCATTTGCAAGGTATAGCTACTATGTCGGTACATGGGCCCTGAGGGACACGGCTCCATGCCTGGATGTTTCGAGTTTAGGGTCGAAATCCTATAGAGCGACCTATCGGTGGGATGGAATGTAGGAGCTAGGGTTTTGGGGGCTCCTTGTAATAATTATAGTAAGTAATAAGGCCCCTATATTGAGCTCTCTTCTCCTGATCACTGCAAAGAAGATGCTGCTGCACAAAAAACGCCCGATTGCAAACCTTCCGAAGCTCCAGCAACTGACAGTACGAATAACTCATAAACCCTTAAGCCCGGTTTAGGGTTTAGGGTTTCCCTAAGCCCATAAGCCCTAAACCTTCCACCCTGAACCCCGAAACCCGTCCTCAGGCTTGAGCTTGAGTTTACATCTCCGAAACCACAAGATCCAAGAAGGACCAATAAAGAGTGTTTAGGGGTTTGTTTTTTAAGGGTTTAGGATTTAGGGATTTCGTTTAAGGGTGTAGGGTTCAGGATGTTTTAAGGGCTCAGGGTTAGGGCGATCCAAGAAGGACCCATAAAGAGCAGGGTATCATATGGGTACTTCTCTAAATTAGGATCCCCTTGTCGGGTCCCTTTTATAAGGCTGCCGTACTATATTAGGGACCTAAAAAGGACCCTAATTTAGAGAATTACCCATATAAGCGTAAACGAGACTTTGGCAGTATGTTCGATCATATGCGGTGGGAGTATGTTGCCAGTCTGTACTATGTTGTCGAGGGTGTGCAAAAAAGAATGCTACGTTACGAAGCATTCCTCGAAGTCTATTACATTATATATATATATATATATATACGTATGTATATATATATAGATAGATAGATATATCTGTGTGTGTATCTGTGTTGAAGGACCAAGGAAGGGTGCGACTAGTTATTGCAACGAGATCGATCTACAAAGCCCCGGAAAGCCCTCGCAATCCTAGCAACCTGCTGGAGACCTGCACACTAGACACGGCAAAGCTGCAAAACACACCAACACAAATTACAACACGCAGGACACAAGGGCACCTGTTAACATAAAACAACTCCAAACCCTTGAAGCACAGATCCTAACGCACTTTTGAAAAAGCTGCAACAACAAGTTACATCATCACGTTTTACCGGCATGGGAGATCCAGACAACTTTTCAAGGGCCACCCCTTCAACCAAAAGGGCCCCTAATTTTCAGAAAAGCCCATACCCAAAGCGCCCTGAACCTTAAACCCTAAACCCTAAACCTTGAAGCCCGAAGACCCTAAACCCTAAACCCTAAACCTTAAACTCTCAATCCTAAACCTTGAAGCCCGAAGACCCCGGAACTCGTAAACCCAGCAGCGGCCGCCCTGCCTCGCACTGAGTGTCTTTGAGTGCTTCCCGGGCCCTGTCCGTGACCAGGGATTTTGGGCATAATGTAGTGGCCTTTCAAGATAAGGAACCCCCACAATAGTATGAGTAATTATTTAGGCTTCTATTTTAAGGCATGGGGATTTAGCGTGTTTTGGGACTCGGCTTTGGAGATGTGGGGATTAGGATCTTAGAAGTTGATTCTTGGGTGCTAGGTCCGTGATAGCTTGTCAAGCTCTATAAGGGGTTGATAGCTCTAGATCCTGATGAGCTCTTGATTGAACTTTCTTCCAGGTGTGGAAAGCAAGCCCACACTCAAACAAGGTGTCATTGAACCAAAAACGGTGTGCCGTGCCGCGACCCGAATTTGGTTGCAGTCTGGGCGTCTTCATGTCGGCACTAAGAAGCCAAATAGTCGACAAACTTTAAGCCTAAAGCCGCCCTAGACGCGCGGACGACACATGTTTTGCTGCGATCTGCGTTCTGAGCGCCTGTCGACAAGCTCCAAAATTTGAAAGGTAATGCTCTCCTATAAAGAAGCTTAAGCTTGGAGACCTTTAAAGCTAGGATACGGTCTTGGCCAAGAGCTCGCCACAACAGCCGGTTGCTTACAGGTGAGGTGGTTGCAGTGATGTCTTCCGCCAACCGCCATACGCCCTCAGAACGGCGGCCCGCTGCACACCAGCTAAGCGGTGGAGCATTCAGGAATTATGTACCGTGAGCCGCGCAGCGGAGCGGGCTAGTCTTTCCAAGCCACTCCAATCTTTAAGCACCAAGCAGAGCACCTCCGTGTAGGCATGTGGCACATTCTCTGGCACCGTTCGCCCAGACAGTCCGAGGTAAACAAACCTTGTCCTAGTGAGGCATATAAGCACGTCCTCGAGGCCTCGATTTTCGATTTTGGCTTAGGGGCTTTCTTGATGCTACGGTCTCCTTGGTAAAAACTGGAAATCCTAAACCCTAAGCCCCAAACCCTATAAACCCTAAACCCTAAGCCCTATAAGCCCTAAGCCCCAAACCCTATAAACCCTAAACCCTAAACCCTAAACCCTATAAGCCCTAAGCCCTATAAACCCTAAGCCCTGAGCCCGGTAATCCAAGTTGACGCTGACAGTGCGACTAAAATCACCAGCAAGAGCAGAAGTTGGAGGGTCTGAAGCCTTTCCAAAGAGCTCAACACTAAAAGCTACTTGGTATATGCGGGGTTCCAAAAATAGGGGACCCTAATATAGTAACCTAAATAATAGGATCCTTATTATAAGGACCCCAAAATAGGGTACCCTAATTTTCGGAAACTCCCATATCAAAGTTTTCAATAATGTGAGGCCAGGGGCCGAGACATAAAGGTTCTGACTACCTGCCCCACCCAACTGTAAAGCTAAAACCTAAACTGAAACCAGAAGCCCGAAACTCAAACCCGAAAACACAAAAACATTTGAAGTCAAACCCCTCGCACCCCGAACCCTTAAACCGAAGAGGAAGCTGAAAACGCAGTTAGTGGAGCCTCCTGATCCATCAAAAACCCTGTCACTGAACGCCTTATTTATTGTCTGGTGCTTAGTCGGGAATGGGGGAATGGGCTAGAGGGACTACTAGTTTAATACTATAAGGGACTTTAAGGGACAATCATAGGCATCCATTCCCCCATTCCCTACTAAGCACCAAACAGGTCTCGAAGGAAGAAGGGTTGATCAAGCAGCCTAGACCCTAAACCCTAAACCCTAAACCCTAAACCCTGTTGATCAAGCAGGGGCCAACCTTACGCTTTGAGGGTTTTGAGGCATTCGGGGCTCCAGGTTCATGCAATCCCTGAACTAACCCTAACCACTAAACCCTAAATCCTAAACCCTAAACCCTCAAACCCTAAACCCTGAAACCCTAAAGCCTAAACCCCGAACTCGGAACCCTAAGTCCTACTTCCCTAAACCCAAACCCGGAACCCTAAATCCTACTCCCCAACCCCCAAACCCTGAGCCCTGA